TGTGAATTTTCTACTTTAATTCAATTTAATGGTGATATTTGAGGAATTTATAGTCTTTATTCAATAAGGAGACATGAAAGGTGTTTTTTAGCTGAAGAATTGCACAATTCTATCAGTCAGAAAGATTGAATCAAATGGTGGCAAGACAAAAGGATTGAAAATGAAAGAGAAAATTAAGACCCAAACTTGTATAATAGTAATAGGAAGACAAAGAAAGAGATGGATGTGATAAAAGTGTTAGTGATAAAATTGACAAATGTTGTGCCTATCAGAACAGGATAGATAAAAGGGGAGAATTTTTATTTTTTTTTATTTTTATTTTTTTTTCTTGCGTTATGCGGGCCTCTCACTGTTGTGGCCTCTCCCATTTGCGGAGCACAGGCTCCGGACGCGCAGGCTCAGTGGCCATGGCTCACGGGCCCAGCCGCTCCGCGGCATGTGGGATCTTCCCGAAACGGGGCACGAACCCGCGTCTCCTGCATCGGCAGGCGGACCCTCAAGCACTGCGCCACCAGGGAAGCCCAAGAATTTTTATTTTTTAAATGAGATTTCAAGACTGGATGGCAGGTAGTACTACTGACAGAAATGAACATAAAGATAAAGGATTTAGCAAGCGTTGGCAAACTATAGCCAGCTGGTCAAATCTGGCCCATTGACTGTTTTCGTACAGCCCGTGAGCTGGGAATGTCTTTGTTTTGTTTTGTTTTGGGTTTTTTATGGGCTTTTTGTTGTTGTTGTTTTGGGTTTTTTTTTTTTTAAATGGTTGAAAAAATTTAGAATAGATGTAATCAGAATAGTATTTGTGATGTGTGAAAATTATAGGCAATTGAAATTTCAGTGTCCATATAAAGTTGTGTGGGAACACAGCCATGCTCATTTGTTAGCACAGGTTCTATGACTGCTTTCACATTACAGCAGCAGTGGAGTTAAGTAATGCAATAGATTGGTATGGTACGGCCTGCAAAATGTATACTATGTACTATCTTGCCCTTTCAGAAAAATTCTGCTTACCTCTGTTTTAGAGCTAAAATTATATATGTATACATGAAAATGCCTAATAGGCTAATGGGAACACACAACTTTTGTTGAAGAGAGGAGAATAACCTGAGAAATAGAATTCTGAGGATCACTAAGTGTATAGAGTGAAGAACTGAATCTCTTAGTATGAGTAACAGCATTTAATAACACTTAAGAATTTTAAAAATATATTCATATACATTCATTCTTTTGATATCTAAAATAACCCGTGATGTGAATATCATTTTTTTCTAGTTTGCAAATAAGGAAACATGTTGTAAAAGATATGTGGCTATATTTTGGAGAACAATTACATTCAAAAGTAGAAGGTGATAGAGAAATATTAGCGAGGAGAATGTAGATATTTTGGCCTATGGTGGGCAGTATTCCTCTTGTTTGCAGGCATGGTGATAGAACAAAAACTCAAGTCAGAGTTTCTGGGTTTTCATCCTGGTTCTACCATTTACTAACACTACAATCTTGAGTAAATCACTTAACCTTTTAGAGACTCAGCTTCGTAATCTTAGCATAATAGTGTTCTTACCTCAGAGGGCTCTTATGAAGATTAAATTTTAAATATATGTTAAGGAGCCTAGAAGAGTGTTTGACATATATAAATGTTATTTTCATTGTCTTTCGGAACAGATTTTCGAATCAGTTAACATACAGTGTAATTTCATTTGGATGGCACGGATTCCAAAAGCCTTCATTAGCTGTTTATATCAGAGTTGTATTCTATATATGTGAGCAGCAGCAGAGCCACTTAGCCCCCTGGCAATAAATATCAGAGATTCCACTTACTTGATTTGTCTTGAGCTTTGTACCTCAGTTTCTTTGCTTATCCAGCAAAAAATAGTCCAACAAGGAACATTCACCCAGAATTCCTAAATATCAAATATTCTCTGAAGTTCTATTTTGATATTTTCATAGGGATTGCAATTGATCGATGGCATATAATAAATCATTCACAGAAGCACTAAAAATCTTCAGTAAAGGTGTCAGTCAGTAATTTAATGCTTTTTTGTCCCTGTTGTTCCTCTTATAAAAGAGTCAGAATTCTCCAGAACTTTTAGTTTTGTAAACTATTGCCCACCTTTTGGCCCTTATCTTGTCAAAAGTAAATATCTGCCAATTGTAATTCACCATGTGAGTTCAGATGTTATTAAGGGAACTGAGTGCAACCCATGAGATTCTTGTCCAGGACAGGGTCAATCAATGCTATCCAATAATCGACTCTGTTCCCTGCACGGTAGGTGGATAGCAGTTGCAATTATTGTCATTTTGTGTCTGGGGAAATGTAGACAGGAGAATGAAGTGACTTCCTCAAGGTCATATTGTGAATCAATGGCATTCCAAGGAACAGAACTTGAAATACACTTAACCAGATCACCTCTTAAATGGTTTGAACTTTAGCATAAGGATAGTGAAAAATTTTTCCACTGTATGCCAGTATACACATCAAAATTATTTCTTAGATCCAGAGTCATGCATTTATTATCTCTGAGATAAAGGCTGTAAAAAGAGACCCCAAATAAATTGGTCTATAGCTATTATCATTTGGAAGTTTAAATACGTTTTTATGAAAATGGAGAGAATGATAATGACCAGTAGTTAAGAAGGAGAAAATTCATTTCTGTTTTTGAGCTAGTTTAGTGCATTAGTAGCTTACAGCTTTCTTAATGGCTTGTATACTATTGATTTCAGATATAAGAGAGTTGTGTCTTTATTTACATGCTTTGCCACATACCAGCAGCAGTAAAAGCTGCTCTTCCTTTAATATGTCACATAGGCCACATTTCCTGAGAAAAGAGACTACAAACTATTTTCAGCTCCTAAGGAAGAGTCATCTGTACACTCATCAATTAAAAACTTAGGGCTTCCCTGGTGGTGCAGTGGTTGAGAGTCCGCCTGCCGATGCAGGGGACACGGGATCGTACCCCAGTCCGGGAAGATCCCACATGCCGCAGAGCGGCTGGGCCCGTGAGCCATGGCCGCTGAGCCTGCACGTCCGGAGCCTGTGCTCCGCAAAGGGAGAGGCCACAACAGTGAGAGGCCCGCGTACTGCAAAAAAAACAAAACAAAACAACAACAACGAAAAAAAACCCCTTAGTCTCATAGCTTAATTTAGTTCTTAAAATAAAATAAAATATATAATGAAAAGAAAGCAAATTTTAAGTGCTAGATATGTGAATATATTTTTATTTTTTATTCAGTATGGAATAGCTCATTTATTGTGAACTCAATATGTATCAAGCCTTATGCTAAGGAGCTTAAAGAAAACTTCAGAAAGCTTCATCATTTAGTTACTTTAATAGGTTAGAACTGAAACATGGATAACTAATCCTGAGATTTTACAAATGTCAAGTTATTTTAGATCCCGAATTAGGCTTATGATAGATAATAAATGACAGATATTTGATATTGCTTCTTTGATTTTTATATTTTGGTCAGATTTTCCATTGACCATTCTTATAATTCCTTCATTTCATATATTTAATTTTATTGCTATTGTACACTATTGCCTCAATAAAGTGTGTTTTTAGTATTCTGAACCTAGTAACCATGTTTTTGTAAAGCTTTGTGAGGTGATTTCTTCCAAATTCCCCATTTATAGGTGAACTAGAGATCAGCATCTGGAAATATTAATATATAGGCATTGTAGGTATCACATGTTCCCTGTGAATAATCAAATAAGTAAATTCCACTTATACGATTTATCCTTTTTAAATGTTCCTTCTCAAACCTATTTACTTCTATTAGATTATGTGCGGACTTCTTTTTTGACAAGATGATTGAATAGACAATCTCATGAAATTTTATGGCCTTGATTATTATTATCGAATCATTTTTATTTCAAAATTCTTTTTTTTTTTTTTTTTTTTTTGCGGTACGCGGGCCTCTCACTGTTGTGGCCTCTCCCGTTGCAGAGCACAGGCTCCGGACGCGCAGGCCCAGCGGCCATGGCTCACGGGCCCAGCTGCTCGGCAGTATGTGGGATCTTCCCGGACCAGGGCACGAACCCATGTCCCCTGCATCGGCAGGCGGACTCCCAACCACTGCACCACCAGGGAAGCCCCAAAGTTCTTTTTTATTTGACAAAAAGTCATAGGTCCCAGGTGCTATGGTTGTGAATATGGTAGTTTAGGGGTATAGATAGCTTTCTACCATCCCACATTTTAAATTGCAAGTGCAAGAAGCAAGTTTGCATACTGTTCAAAATATGACATATACAAAGAATAGTACTATGCCAGTGCATTAAGTTTACTGTGTATAAGAAAATAGCACCTCAAAACTCAGGATGCTAATTAGGGAGGGCTGACTTAATAAACCCTGCCCGTAACATTTTTATTCTTCCCCAGATAGTTTGTAATACACATACACACTTGAATATGTTTATATGCACCATTTACACATTAATCCTTAGGATTTTGTATATGTGCTTGTCTATATACATATAATTTATAAATGTATACTGTACTGTTTACCAATGTGTATTCATCATTTACATAAGGATCTATCAATGTATATACATACATCGATAAACAGTCTCATTTCAAGCTATAGTTTGTTATACTTCTACCTTTTGAAGCATACTATTAATAAAATTAAATAAGGTATATGCTTTTCTAACATGTGAGGAATTACATTAAGTTTGAATTAAGTTAAAATTTTAATATGTTAGAAATGTGAGAAGTCATACACTTATATTAAGGAGTAGATTTAAATATGTCAGATATTAAGTTATACTTTTGTATTAAATTTAACATTGTAGTTCTAGAGCAAACAATTATATTCAATAGATATTTATATGAAAAATTAAACCTGGAAAGTTTTATTATCTGACTTTAAAATAAACAATGATATGGCTCTATTCTTAAATGAACAAGTTTTATGAGCATCCTATAATGATCACTTTTTTCCTAAAATGTATTTTGACATAGAGGAATGATTATAAATCTAATTATCACCTGTTTTAGGCTAAGATGACTCAATTGCCTGAGGCAGAAAAGGAAAAGATAGCTGAGCAAGTTGCTGATTTCAAGAAAGTAAAGAGTAAGCTGGATGCTGAGATTGAGATATGGGACGATACGAGCAACGATATCATTGTTCTCGCCAAGAAGATGTGTATGATCATGATGGAGATGACAGACTTCACAAGGTAATTATGTGGGAAATGATGTGTAATATTTATAATGTTAGAAACATTTGTCACATTAGTGAAACCTTAAGTTTCTCTGAGTGTCAGGTGCTAAAAATTAAGTGGTATGGGAAAAGCAAATAATAAAGAATTAGAAAGTTGTACATAGGTTCTTCTAGAGGTTTTGGTAAATAAATGTGGCAGAGTTTCTCATAAACTGCTGAGGAATAATTTTAGAAACCAATTTATGTCCTCACTATCAGGAACCTTCTCTGTGTATCGTATTAGCTTTTTTTTTCTTTTTTTATTACAAAGAAAGTGGTAAATCAAGTTATGATCTCTATTGGAGCTATCCGAATAATTGATTTTCATAGCTACATACTGAGATATCAGCTAGATATATTTGAAATTACAGTGACTTAATGATATACACAAAGGAATCATACATTGTCTGTATATTCTAGAAGTAATAAACATGTTTCTTATAGCTTCAAAATATTATTTTACAGAGCTAGCCAAAGAGCAATACCAGTTACTAAAATGTACAAAACTACAACAATTAAAATAATTTAGTCTTGATGTAATTATAAAAGCCACAGAACAGAAGAATACTCTGAAGCAGACCTAGTATAATTACAAAACTATTTATTTATATCCCTATACATTAAGCAGAAAAATAACTTTTAGATGGAGTAATGAAATAAATGTAATTTTAAAATAATAATAAATGGAAAAAATATACATGAATATTTCATTAAAATTAAGATTGAGAAAAGTTTTCTAAGCATTATAGACAAAGAACTCATAAAAAAGGATCAATAAATTGAATGGCATTAAAAATTTGAAATGTCAATAGAATGTCCTAAGCAACACTTAAATATAAATGGATAATTGGGTAAACATCTATAACAAAAAATAACAAAAATTGGATGTCATTTGTATATAATGAATACTTACAGACATTAAAAATTTTTTAAACGTCCTAATAGAAGAATGGGCAAAAAATAGCTCACCAATTTCTCCCCATAAAAGATATGAGCCATAAGTATGTGAAAATATTTTAACCTAAAATATTTTAAATAACATACATTTTAATTCTGTAAAACTGGCCCAAACTTTTAAAATAGCCCTTTACAGAGAAGGTATGGTAATGAAAGCATGTATTGATGTAAGCCTTGTGGTAATTTGGCAATATATATAAACTAAAAACTTTCACACACTTTTAATATCTATAGCTATCTATATCTGTATATTATATATACAATTTCATAAAGAATGCCTGTTAGATATCAGTTTATGTTTGCTCCTCTTGGTTCTTGCCATTTTTTTCTAACCCCCTACCATGACTTCTAAATGTCTTACCATTTCCTTTCATACACAGAATTCAGTTTTAACCTATTTCTCAGTCTCTACAAAGATTCTGAGAAACTTCTCCCCCTCTACTCCACACGTATATTTTATATATATATAAAACGTAGACATGAATGTGCCTGCGTATAAGAAACAAACTATACTACAGTGATATTAAATACTATGTTTTGATAGTTTAGTGGTGGGTAAGTTAATTACTTTTAATTTTCTATAATTTGTTGATTTTCTATGATAAGTATATAGGTATTTTACATAATTTATAATTTGGCTTCAAGTTAGTCCTAGGAGAGTGGAAGTTGACTAAACTGAAATCATTTCATGCAAATGTTCCCAAAAGTTAAGACTAAAAAGAAGCAGAAATAAAACCTTAAGTGATGTCAGCTTTCAACATTATTAAGACACAGAAAATAGTGTGAGTTTCAAAGTATTACCTTTACATAGAGAAATAAACACCAAATTCCAACAGAGCTACTGCTGGTACTCTGTCATCGACATAAACCTATGGATCTGGAAAGCAGGCATTGAGAAAATTAAAACACCTGGTAGAAATGGGAGGAATGTGATAGACAAAGAAATAGATAAAGCACAAAAGAAAATTGGACCAAAATGAAAACACCTGATGCTAAGTGCTAAAATACTGAACCACAGGTCTGGGACTTGTCATTTTACAACATTAACTATAGAGATTGAGGTTAAAATTGAATGGGTCTGGATTTGGGAAATGTCACTTTTGAGAAAAAAAGGAAAATACAGGACAAGTGCCACTGAAGGTATGTCAGTGATCGAAAAGGACATAGATAGGAAATAAGAAGGAACCTAGAGAAAGGAAAGAGAATCACAATATATGTCAACCCCTCCCCTTCCCCACCACCACCAAAAATGTTATCCATTAAAGAAAGTATACTTCACAGTAATGATTAAAGAGAGTATTCTTGGTCCAGGAGCCCTGTCTAGAATCAAAGAGATTCAGACTGATGACATGCAAAGCTACATAATGAGATATAGAAAATGGACGTGTTTCTGGGTACATATGCAAAGGAAATGAAATAATTATCTTTAGGAGTTATTGGTATTGCCAGGTTCACTGCAGCATTACTCACAATAGTCAAGATATGGAAACAGTCTTAGTGTCCATTAATGAATGAATAGGTAGAGAAAATGTCTTATATAAAAAGTAAATTTGTGTATATGATAAATTTAAATAAATGATACGTATGAATTTTTTCAGCCATAATAAAGGAAACCCTACTCATTTGTGACACATGGATGATCCTGGAGAGCCTTATGCTAAGTGAAATAAGCTAGACAGAGAAAGACCAATACTGGATGGTATCACTTATATGTGGAATCTTTAAAAAAAAAAAAAAAGTTAAACAGAGAATAGAATGGTGGGGGCTGGAGGGCGGGAGAAGTAGAGAAATGCTGATCAAAGATTACAAACTTTCAGTTATAAGATGAGTAAGTTCTGAGGATCTAATATATAGCATATTGACCACAGCTATTAATACTTGAAATTTGCTGAGAGTAGATCTTACGAGTTCTCATGCAAAAAAGGTAATTATTATGTAAGGTAACGGATGTGTTAATTAAATTGATTGAGGTAATCATTTCACACTGTATACATATATCAAATCATCACATTGTACACTAAAAATATATTACAATTTTGTCAATTATGCCTCAATAAAGCTGAAAAAAGTGAGAATCAAAACAATTGAGCTGATGAAAACCTTCCATCTAGAAAACAAATACAAAACAACAATAAAACTATAACACAACAATCCAAATTACAGTGAATTTCAAAAAATAAAACAGTTGAAGATACATGTTTTTAAAACCTGGACTCAGAAGATCAAAAACTAAGAAGATAAATTTTTAAAAAAATGAAAAAATGAAATGAGGAATGCAATGAGTTAATAAAACTTAGGGAAAAAAATTAAAGGACAAAAATATCTAAAAAATAAAAACAATTATAAAGTGTCCAAAGGAAAATAGATTCAGATAAAAATTCCATAAGGGGAGGACAAGCAGGGGATTAACCAGAGAATGACTGTGAGATAAAGATTTTTAAAAAAATAAGAAAAGGCTCAGAGAAAAATAGCTTGAAATGGAGAAGAGGCAAAGGAGATCTGATTAGACATATGTTAGACACTTTGGGAAAAAAAGAAATAATAAAACAACTAATATTTAAAAGTATAAACCAAGAAAGTTTTCCATACATAATACTAAACCTAAATTTACATGTAGAAAGGCGTTACCATATTCCTAGGAAATTTGACCCAGACAACACTAAACGCACACACACACATGCACATACGTTTTCCTCATCTGTAAAAAATACCAATATCTTATATATAGCAATACTATATTCTACATATTATATGTATATGGGGAGAGAAATAGCAAAGTGAAACCAATTGAATAATAAAAATTTATGAGAAACATCCTTACCTCCACAAAGGGGAGGCATGTACTTTTAACCTTATGATTTCATTCCATGTGATTATCTCTATATCTCTAAACAATACACTTTCTGAGATACGGTTTATTGACTTTTCCTGCAAATGAGAATGTATGTCATTTATATGACTGTTCATCTCTTCTGTCTTTTCCTTGGTTTCATGAATTTATATATTTTATTATTTATATTTATAGACCTTGATAATATTATGTTATCCATAAAGTGTTTCTCACTATATGTATATTAGTTATATCTCAACTTCTCATTCTGTATGTTGAAGAAATACCCACTCTTACTCTTTTCTTTTTTGCCTGTTACTGCTTCCTCTTCTACATCTCATTTGTAACCCAACTTCTTTCTAGTATACCTCTTTTATATTGATATTTAATGTAACATTTACATTCTTCTAAATAACTAAATCACCCATGCTTATTCTATTGGTTTATTCTGAAAGTGAAGATTAATAAAATGTTTATGACACTGATATAATTAACCTAGATAGGAAACCCACATGAAGGAAACATATTTCCAGTAGAAAGTTGAATTAGAGTTTAGACATAAAGTACCCATACATTTATATGGGAAACAACACATCATGGAAAGAAACCTGAACTAAGAACTGTGTTTTAACATCAGTTTGATAAATGTGTCAGTCAGAGTTCTCTTAATCTTTCTCACCATATTGTATAAAGAGTATATATATAGGCAGAATATAAAGTTAGAAGGAAAAACAATCAAGGACAAAGCCATGAGAAAAAAAAGCTTTTAAGAAGTGGACAGAGGAGATAGAATCCCATAAAGACAGAGCACTCAATAAGAAATTGTGTAATATGCAAAGAACGATTCTTGGGCCACAGTTAAGGAAATTTCAGTGAGTTATCAATTAAGTGTTTTACTTGAAGAGATCCTAATTAGTGTAAAGATTGAAAAAATAGTATAGTTTTGGCAATTCTCAATTTATGGTTACTTTTGTTTGAGTAGCTTCACTAAATTTTAGGTGGGAGATTAAAAAGCCTTATTAATTCATTACAAAGTAGATGAGAAAAGAGCAGATGATAAAACAAAGATACTCAAAGTAGTAACTTAAAGGAGGCAAATGATCAAGACAAGATTTAGAGATTTCTGAATAACTTGAATATATTCTAAGTTGAAGGGACAGGGGAAATGGGGAGGGATAGAATGAAACTGT